CAGGGAGGGAGGGGGAAAAATGAGGAGCTGATGCCAGGGGCTTTCAAGGAGAGCAAATGTTTTGAGAATGATGAGGGTAACGAATGTACAAATGTGCTTTACACAATTGATGTATGTATGGATTGTGATAAGAGTTGTACGAGCGAGCGCCCAATAAAATGATTTTAAAAAATAAAAAACAATTTTCAGACAATGAACAGCAAGCAAGAATGAACAGTGTTCCTGAAAGAAAGAAACAAATTAAGTAAGGACTACAAGGTTAGAGAGGTTCCAAGGTATGACACAGTGAAAGGAAACCTAAAATAGTCTGGAAGTCTCTCCAAGTTAAGAAGACATTGTTGAGAATTTGGGAAGTTGCAAACAGTCATAAATTCACCAGGCAAAGTAACAGAAAAGAGAAATCTGCACACAGAGATTTCTGAAGATCTTCAAAGGGTTTCTCTCAAGTATTCAACTAAGTACTTATCAAGCTTTGAGTGAATCAACTTCCTCCAAGTAAATTAACTGGGTCCCAGAACAAGATTCAAGAATGTTCACAAGAATATTTTTTACATAGAAAATATTTTTAAATAGAAAACAAGGTAATACCTAACATCTAGTCAAAATTTATCAAGCATACAAATAAACAGAAAATCCATATAAAGAAGGAAAAGTAAAAACACAATTAAGAGAGGCAAAATCAGAGATGACACATGATTGAATTGTAAAAAAGGAAATTAAAAACAGCTATTATAAATACAGTCCATGTGTTCAAGAAGGTAGAAGTATGTCAATGAAAGACACAAAATACATTATAAGAAACCAAACTTCTAGAGATGAAAAAACTAATGACTAAGATGAAAAATACATTAGATATGATTTACAGAGCAGAATTTACTATGTTGTCCCATTGTACTTTGTTTATAAACAGTTTTATTGGGACATAATCTACATATCAGACAATTCAATAGTTCAATCATATCGAGAATAGATGTTATGCTTTTAAAAAAAATTTTTGGTTGGGAAAGCAGCATTTTGCCTCTGAGTGAATTGTCTTTCTGTTGACTTAATGTACCTTCAGTTGAGAATTGAGCACCTGATATTATGAAGTTTCTCCATTTTTGCAGCTAGGAACTATTTCCAACTCTATGTGAAATCCAAGAACTACATATACACACACTGTATAGAAATCTGCAAAATGAATAATAAGAACTCTCCAGGTGATTCTATTCTCCTACAAAAATGTGGATTGAGTGGTCAGTGATCACCATCATTACATATTACATATTATGAGATATTTGTCCCACAAAATACATTTTGCAGCAATGTTCTATTACTCATCATATAAATGTAGATGCATCAGCAGGAGCAACGGCACTCAGGGAGTTAGTGCGCAGGTGCTGAATAGACACCCTCCCGCCCCCCCAAAAAATAAATGTAGATGCATCATTTACTTTTTTTAAAAAAAAGAACTAATATCTGAATGCCTATTTAAATCAGTAAAAACATTAATTTTGCATGGTAAGAGGCTAAATTTTAGATATGTATAATTCACTCACAAAAACTATCATACAATCAAAATAACTTCAAATTTATTCTGAAATTTTAAATAGCTAATTGAGTTAGTTAATTGTGCCAGCCGGGCCAATAATCACATGTGGGGCTAATTGAAAGGCGGAGGGATAAATGGGTGGTGAGCCTCGCCTTTCTAGTTCTCGGGGTCTCTTGCTTTGTGATGGTCGCACCTTAGCAGTTCCCTGCTTCAGCTTGCAAGATTGACTTCCTACAAGACATCCCCAAGGAGAAGCCACATGGACCTATCCCGATGCAGCCCTGGGTGCTGGAGCAGCCGGGTGGAGACCCCTGCTAGTGCTAAGATGCTTGTTCATTCACTGACTCAGCTTTCCTCCTGCAGTCGGCATCATTGCCTCCGTTTTGTGAGGTGGAGGACTTTGTGGACTGGTGTTGGGTTAATGGGTTAATGTTGGACTTGTGGGTTTGGGCAGCATTGGGTTGGCATGTTTACGTGATGCACATTTTCTTTACATAAAACTCTCTCTTATACATGGGTTGCTGTGGATTTGTTTCTCCAAAGTACCCAGACTAATACACTAATGAACTAATAAATACAAGTATAGAAAACAAAGAATTGTTTGATTTTTTTTACCTGACTTTCCTTGTGATTTAGTTCCTTTTTGTATTCTTCTTCAAGGTGTTGAATTTTTTCATAATCTTCTTTTACTTTAAAAATAAAACAAATATACTTTAGTGCCAATATATTTTTAAAATATTTCTATTACAAACAGAACACAAAGTTTCTGATATATTTCACCACTTTAAAAAACTCAATGGGGTCTAACCATCTAAAACTGCTATTGTTCTCTTGCTGCTAAATTTGTTTAATAGTGAATTTTTTAAATAAAATTATAATAACTTAAGAAAATCTATAGCTTTTATACTAGCACACATAAAAAATATTTAACTTTCTAATCTGAAATAACATTTTTCCCCCAAAACCATTATATTGGGAGCTAATCAGTTATCATATCTTCCTTAGTTCAATCACATCAAGCAGTACTGTGCAATTGCTATCACAATCAATTTCAGAACATTCTCTTCCTTCCTGAACTCCTTTTACATTAGCTCCCCTTTACCTGCCTGCTTCCCTGTACCCACTGGGAACCCTTATTCTACTTGCTGTCTCTATTGATTCAGCAACATATTTTAAATACATGTATTGTTGTTTTGCATGCATATTTAACTAGCAAGAAATATGAAAACAATAAACTATATTTCTAAAAAAATTAAATCATAAGCCTAACCTAAACCTGCTGCCTTTTCAAGTAGATTTCAACTCATAGCAATCTGATAGTGTTTCTAAAACTGTAAATCTTTAAGGGACCAGGCAGTCTTCTCTTTCTCATATGGAGCAGCAGTGTGTTTAAGTCAGAGCTTTCTGTTAGCAATCCAGTGCCTAACCTATGGCACCCACACTGACTCCTAACAAAAACCTTATGTATCTGATTACACAGAAATTGTATCTTAAAGGCAAAAAATTATTTTTAACATCTATCAATTCCTTATAAAATTCCTTAAAATTCTGAGTTTATTTACAAAACTATCTCACTCAAAAGCTCACTGCTATCAAGTCAATTCTGACTCATAGTGATCAGATAGGGCCCTGTAGCCCCTGTGGGGTTTTAAGACTATAACTCTTCACAGGAGTAGAAACCCTTATCTTTCTCCTGACAAAACTATGTAGAATGCAAGATACAAAAGAGCTAAGGGTATTAGGCTAAAGGGATGAAAATACTGTGAAACAATTGAAAATATAAAACAGAAGACTAATAATATAAAATTAAACAGGACACCTACACTTAAAATGCACTTCCAGTCTGGAATTTTCTGCTTGCACACGAAGTTCCTCAAAAGCTATTACCATTTTCTGAAACAGAATTGACAGGATATGATAAATTTTTAAAACTCAGACTTTTAAAGTTTTAAATAAATATTAAATTTGAAAATGTGATCTTTAAATGTAAAGCCATAAAATTTCAAATACGGAAAACTATACAGCTTTAAATAATTTACTTAAAAACATATTAGGAATATCTTTTATGGTTTCCCAAATGGTCAAAGTCACAGGAAACTGACAGAAGATTGGGTAACAGAGGGAAGCATAAGGAAGACACAGATTAATAATGCTTTATGAGCTATAGTATGCTGGTCTCTGACAAGGAAGTCAATAAACAGTTAATAAGTTAAGTTACATAAAGTGACTAGTATGAAAATCAAGAAAGTTACTAAACAATAAGATATTAGCACTCATAGTAGAGTTTGGGAATTTTATTGATGATGCAAAATCATGTATACAAAAATAACAAGTCCTTTAGTAAGGACTGTTAGTATCTTAGTATCTTTATGAGTATTACTCCACTTTGCTTAGAAATGCCTGTTAGCATTTTTTTTACTTTTCACTACTACTTACCTCAATGTTACTATTTAGATCTACATAAGCTTGTCTAGTTTCTTCCCGTTCATATTCACCTGTTATAAATATCAATATAAATGTTTCAATATGAAGCCATTATAATGCTAATAAGATATTCAAAATAACTCAGGAAAACATGAAAACACTTAACATCCTACATTACTGAAGTGACATTGGCAGATCCAGCCAGCTCTGCATTGTTTTTTAAAGTAACAAAGGCAGCTGAATAGTAAGGCATGTTTGTACTTCAAGCTATCGAGATCAAAAGCTTGGTGTTGTTCAAGTAGCTATACTTTCCTGTTATAGGTTAATTAACCATGAATTTATTCAAACTTTTTATATCATAATTATAATTTTATCCTTTATAATGACTAAAGGCTTAATAACTACTCTATATGTATTTCTTCACTGAATATTTAAGATTCATGAGGTATACAAACTCACTCTTATCTCTAGAGACAAAAAGGAAGATAAACATCAAGGCAAGACAAAACATATTAAAAGTGTCCACCCCTGCTTTATTGTCTTGCAAAAGGCTATGGATGTCAATGAAAGCCCTAAAACTTTTGCAGTGTCCCTATGTGAATTAAGCCTCCATTAAACTCCCTCAGACAACATTGACTAAGGATGTTAACAGTCTTGTCCTCAAAAAGAGTGCCTTGGAAAGTGGATTACTATAGATATACTTAGGTAATATCTCACCATTTGCTTTCCCTTTTGAGCCATTTGTAAGTTGTTCTAGTTCTTATTATTTCCTGCTTTATTCTGGAGTGAGATTTTTCTGTCTTATGTATTATAGTAGTGTTGGATTTGTTTTGTTTTGAGTATGATTTTCTTTATATGGAATCCAGGATAGGTAAATCTATATAAGACATTTACTAGATTAAAAGCTCCTTAGGGTTATATAACCAGTAACAACATTAAAAGCTCCTTAGGGTTAACAGGGTGGGTCAGGGAGAAATGGGCAATAATAATAGATACATAAATGAAGAAAATGATCTAAAATTGATTGTGGTGATGACTGCACAATATTTTATACATTTAAAACACTGAATTATATAACATGTGAATTATGTGTCAATAAAATGGTTTAAAAAATACTTGAGTCCCAAGAAAGAAAAGCCCCTATAAAGAGTTCATCTTTTTCCCCCTTTTCCTTTATCATTAAACCACCGCCATCGAATTTACTCCGACTCTTAACAATCCTATATAGGAGAGAATAAGTAGAACTGCACCTTTGATTTTCCAAAGCTGTAAATATTTACAGGAACAGAAAGCGTCATCTTTCTCCCGCAGAACTGGATTGGTAGAGTTGAACATCTGACCTTGTTCAGATGTTAGCAGTTCAATATATAACCCACTAATGCCACCAAGGCTTCTCTTTTAATATCAGAGACGTGTGTGTGTGTGTGTGTGTGTGTGTGTGTGTGTGTATAACTTGTATGAAAATTTTAATACATTTTAGGGATTGCAATCGATGACATGAAACAAAATGTGAATTAACTGTTGAGTGAAAAATTGCTCTGAAAGTCTTCACCTAATTCATGATAAAAAAGTTAGCATAAGTAAATACAAATAAAAGCAGATGAGAGGCAGATACAGAATTAGTGACATAGAAGAGAGGTTGTAAGAAATTATCTTTGAGCACAGAGACAAAAAGGTGAAAAATAGAGAGAGGGTGAAAAATACAGAAGTGTCCACAGTTGTGTCTTGAAAAACTCTCAATAGATAATCAACTCAGAGATTTTGCACTTGCAGCTGCTTCTTCTACCTGAAATATTTTTTCCCAAAATAGTTACATGACTCACTATTCCCCAAACACCCTATCACAAAATGTCCTCTCTGTAAGCAGTTTATATCAACTACCTCTTATTTTATTTATTCATTCCTTTACTAGGATGTATACTCCATATAAGCAGTGACTTTGGTCACTTGTTTTTTCTCAGCATCTAGAGCAATAATACATAGTAGGTACACACACCAAAAAAAAGTTGAATGAGTGAATAACTTTTAAAAAGACAAAATATGAATAATCACAGTAACAGAAAGACTAAGAACTTAAGGCAAGAATCTGATTGGAATTTAATAAAAAAGATTTCTAAAAAAGTATCACATGTCACACACATCAACACATACTTACTTCAACTTTGATAACCTAAAAAAAAAAAAGTGTGAAGGATTCTTCAAACCAATCCCACCATCTGATTGCTGGTTTAGAGAGTTAAAACCTAAAGTGTTCTAAGACCCTAGTCTATCTAGCTCAAGTAATTTTTGAGAGAGAGACAATATTTCTCATCTACTTTGATCCCTGTTCATCAACCAATTTCTATACTAGACTGAAAAATTAATCTCAAAGTTGAATAAGCAGGCTAAAGTGAAGGAGCTGATAGTGATGCAATACATTCTGGAAAACATACAATATAGATATAAAAGCAAAGCAAAGAATTTATAAGCAGGGACTGACAATAAAAAACCAGAAAAATGCAAACTGGAAATAATAACTACTGTGTACTTTGCACTATTGTAAGTACCTTATATTTACTAATTTACTTCTCAAAACAAAACTACAAATAGTTTTACTAAACCAAAGCCCATGGCCATTATGTCAATTAGAACTCATAGTGAGTGACCTTATATAGTTTCTGAAACTATAAATCTCCACAGGAACTGCTGACCTCGTCTCTTTCCCAAGGAGTAGCTGGTAGATCCAGCTCTTAATTAAGTATTCTGTGATATATCAAGTCTTTTAGCTAAGAAGAATAGACAAGATCTTAGAATAAGCAGTACTTCCCAATGAATTCTTATCAGAAACAAAAGAGAGCAGCTGATAAGTTCAAACTGCCAACCTTCCATTTAGCAGTTTAATGGCTAACCCATTAGGCCAAGAGAGCTAAAGTGTTGTCTGCATTAGTATTTGATTAATGACAGATATGGATTATTATTTTTGATAGCTAAACTTTTGTTTTCTCCTAAAAATAAGAAAAATTTCTTCTTCATAATTTAAAATATATTTTAATTGGCTCTTTCATATACATACAATCACATTCGAATGTTTTAAAAGAACTTATGGTCTTTAGGAAGAAACTATATTTAAATTAGAAATAAACATTATACCATTATTATTAAATTCTATGCCTTTCAGCATTATCTGCCCCTGGTATTTTCTATTATTATGAATACTATAGCTTATTCTTTTAAAAAAACATTTATAATTGTAAATTAGGTGGAAGTTTACATTTAACATCAATTTTGCATTTAACAGTCCAGTAATACACCCCAACCTAATCCTGACACTCCCTCACGCCCACCCATGTACTCACTAACATGCTCCATTTCACCCAAGTCAGTATTTGTCAACAGTCCAACCCAATGTCCCATCCCATCTTATTCTTGACTCAATTTGCTGATTGTTTCAGACGGAAAAGGTCAGTCTTTAAACAAAATGGGGATTAACTAACTTATACGTGTCACATATATAACTTTTGCAATACGGTGCGCATTAGGTTTCAAAAGGATTTGAGTTTTCAAAAAGACTAAATAAAAGTAAGCTGGTAAAAAACTATACAAAACAAGAAAATATTTACATTTCTTTGCCTTTTCATCATACTTGGTACAGGTTTCTTTGAGTAAATTACATAAATGTCTTGTAGCATTATTTCTGAAAAAGAGGGAAAAAGTTTGCCTAAATGTAATCTAATATCAAAGTCTAAATAAATTAATACATGAAAGTTGTAAAATATATTACAATTTTAAAATCTTTAAAAATATATATTTGGCATATAGCACATTGCTCGAAAATGAAATTATGAAAAGTGAACTGACTGTAAAATTAGCAGTGATTGGTAAATTCCTTGTCTAAAAGTAAAACTGACAGCTCCTTAACAAGTTTCTACTGAAGTACCTATCAATAATATTTAAGTGAACAGGTAGAGAATGGTCCAGGGAAAAATGAGAAGAAAGGATTGAACTTTTCATTTACTAGTTGTCCTTGAAAGGACCTAACCTTCAATAAATAAAATAATTTAACTTTCTGGGTAAGCATTCATTGTATGAAATATAAGATCTGTGGTGCTCTCCGTCAAGTTACCAACATCTTCTTTAGAAGTTCAATTTTCAATCCATAAATTTAGACATTTGTTATTAGTTCAGTGAAAAGCAAAAGTTAGAACGTGACCTGTGTCATATCCTGTAACATTTTTTCAATAATCTAGGGAATGAAAAGGTAACAAATCACTGAAATCATTGATGGTTTGCTTTAGTTTTGTTTCCAAACCTGTAACTATTTCTAGTGCACAGTGTGATCCTTGGACCAGCAACATCAACATCTCTTATTAGGAATATAAATTCTTGAGCCCCAGGGCTCCACTGAATCAGAAACTAGACATAGAAAGGAGAAGAGGAAATGGCCATAGTTGTCATAATTTGTCAAATACAAAAATACACAGTGGATATTTTCTTCCTTTTTCCACAGCACCTAAGTAGAATTCTACTTATAAATTTATAACACATAAAAATGTGATACATTTTTTGTGAAATAATTTATTATATTAATACTTACTCTCTTATTAAGTCTTTATTCTCTTTAATTCCTTCTTCTAATTTCAAACTTACTTTTTCATTTTCAAACTAATTGCAAAACAAAAACAAATCATTACTTTTGCTTAGCAAAATAAACATGAGTATGATCACTAAGCAGCATTTCTTTGCTAACAAGTTACAATGGTCAATAAAGAACTATCTTCTTTCCATACCTAAAGGAAAATTTTTATCATTTATGGATTTCACATCAGAATATGGATCTCACATTTATCAAACTAAGATAGAGTCCATTTAAACATCTCTAAAAGCATTCAATATTTAAATGCTAATCTTCTCGACACATTTTAAAGTGTTGTTTTATCTTGTCCAAAGACAATGGTTTATTTTTCTCAGCCTTCTTTCACTTTATGCCAGGAAATCAGAACTAAACAGGCTTAAATTTAAGCTTATATATGTAAATGTCATATTCTAGCAACATGATAGTTATATAAAACATCATAAATAATTAAAATGCCAATATAAACAGGGAATATACATATGGAACTTGCTGAATGGAGTAGACAGGAATAAAATAAACTATTTCTATGTTAACGAGATGATGAAAAAGCTCAAAATCATAAGCCTAGGGTTCAACTGTGGAATACAACCTTCATTTTCTCATGTGTAAGTTCCAGCTGAAGTTAACGAAAATAAAAGCAAATCCGTGAGAGTCAATGGATGAACTTGAGTATATCCCACCTGAATTTAGATACCTTAGCAAGAACAGTTTTGACTTGAACTCCTTGAACACTACGGACCAAAGACCAGATGAATTTGTGAGATAACATCAAAGATATACATAAAAAAAACAAAAGATAATTAAGAAAACAGCCAAAAATGGGTGTCAAAAATAATCTGAAACTTGTTCTTGAATTCAGAGTAGCTAAAATGAATAAAAGAATTTCACACCAGCCTGTGTGACCACAAGGTGTCGAAGGGATCAGGTTTCAGGCATCAAAAGAGAAAAAAATCATATCATTGTGTGCTCACCTTCCCAATACGATCACTGAAGACAAATAGGGGCATAAGCAAATGTGGTGACAGAAAGCTGATGGTGCCCAGCTATCAAAAGATATAGCATCTGGGATCTTAAAGGCTTGAAGGTAAACAAGCGGCCATCTAGCTGAGAAGCAACAAAGCCCCCATGGAAGAAACACACCAGACTGTGTGATCATGAGGTGCCAAAGGGATCAGGTATCAGGCATCAAGGGGGGAAAAAAATCATATCCTTGTGAATGAAAAGGAGGTGCAGATTGGGGACCCAAAACCCATCTGTGGGCAACTGGACATCCCCTTACAGAAGGGTCACGGGGAGGAGATCAGCCAGTCAGGGAAGCGTAGCAACGATGAAACATACAACTTTCCTCTAGTTCTTAAATGCTTCCTCTCACCCCCCACCCCCAACATTATCATGATCCCAATTCTACCTTACAAATCAAGCTGGACCAGAGGATGTACACTGGTACAAATAGGAACTGGAAACACAGGGAATCCAGGACAGATGAACCCCTCAGGACCAGTGGCAAAAGTGGTGATACCGAGAGGATGGAGCAAAGGTGGGGTAGAAGGGGTGAACCGATTACAAGGATCTACATATGGCCTCCACTCTGGGGGACGGACAACAGAGAAGTGGGTTAAGGGAGACGTCAGGCAGTGTAAGATAAGATAAAATAATAATTTATAAATTATCAAGGGTTCATGAGGGAAGGGAGAACAGGGAGGGAGGGAGGGAGGGAAAAGGGCTCAAGTAGAAACCAAATGTTTTGAGAATGATGATGGTGACAGATGTACAGATGTGCTTGACACAATGGATGGATGGATGGATGGACTGTGATAAGCATTGTACGAGCCCCCAATACAATGATTTTTTTTAATTTATGAAGTGAAAAAACTGAACAGAAGACTTCAAAGGGCAACTCAAAAAGAAAAAAATATTATAATAACGTGCACAGATCAGGAGTTAGAACACCAAACAGAAGAACACACTCAGTATTTATCAAGCTAAAAAAACTGAAGAAAAAAAGTAAAGTCTCAAGTTGCAGCATTGAAAGACTGTATGGCATCTAGCAACAGCATGGGCAAATGTTGAATGTATACTCTGTCTGAATCAAGTCAATTATGACTTCTAGAAGCCCTATAGGGCACGGTAGAACTTCTCCATAGGTTTCTAAGACTATAACCCTTTGTGGGAATAGAAAGCCTCATTTTTTCCCCACAGAACAGCTTATGGTATCACACTTCTGAGCTTGTAGCTTTGTACTACTGACCTTCCAGTTAACAACCTACACATAAAGTACTACACTACCAAAGCTCCTTGAATTACATAGGAAGAATAAAAAAATAGAAGCTATACATACTATACCATCACTGTTACAAAAACAAAAAAAAACTAGTCAACATCCTACAATTTCAGGTGGAAAGCTACCTGGCCAAGTGACTGAAGCAAATCCATATTCTTGCCCATTCCAGAGAAAAATTATCAAAGAGAATGAAGAAACTGTCACACAATATCATTAATATCACACACAAGTAAAATTTTGAAGATAAATTAAAATAGGAGTACATTGACAAGGAGTTGCCAGGAATTCCAGCCTGATTCAGAAGACAAACGGAAGGAGGGATATTGTTACTGATGGCAGATATATTTTGGCTGAAGACAGGGAATGACAGAAAGACCTGTGATTTATTGATATATGCAAAGGCAATGAAATGTGAGGATCAAACAAATTATAGATAACATTGCAAAAAATGGAAATTCCAGAACCGATAGACCCAAAGTAGTCTTTCTAACAAAACAAGAAAATATGGCTTGGTTTAAAATCAGATAACATCTGTATGCTGAGCAAGTAATCTGAGTAGATGACAATATGAAGAAGAACATGACATCAGGGCTAAAGGAAACTCATTAACAACCTGTGGTGTTTGCTGAAAGTAAGAGGACTTGAAGCACTTAATGATGGAAAAAGCAAAGACAACAAACTTTAGTATGGATTACATCTCAACATAAAGAAATCAAATATCCTCAAAACTGAACCAATAAAGCAACATGGAAGTTGTCAAAGATTTCATTTTACTTGTATCCACAATGTCCATGGAATCAACAGTCAAGAAATTAAATGAAGTACTGCAATGGGCATACTGCTGTAAAAGACCTCTTTAGAGTGTTAAAGAAGAATCTATGCATTTGAATTGCGGTGCTGAATAAGAATATTGAAAATACCACAGACTGCTAAATGGGCAAACCGATCTGTTTTGGAAGAAATAAGACCAGAGAGCTCTTGAGAGGTTTAAGGATGGCGAGACTTTGTCTTATGTACTTTGAACGTGTTACTAGGAGAGACCAGTCCCTGGAAAAGGACATCATATTTGGTAAAGTAGAGGGACAGTTTAAAAGAAGGCCTTCAAGGAGCTGGATTGGTACAATAGCCTCAAGCATAGGAACATTTGTAAGGATGCCAGACCTTGCAATGTTTCACTCTGTTGTACAAAGGATAGGGTTACTGAGTCAGAAACGACTCGATAGCACTTAACAACTACAACAAAGTATTTTAAAAGCAAAGATGTCACTTTGAGGGCTAAGGTGTGCCTCACCCAAGCCAGGGTATTTTTACTTCAATACTTTCAGATACACGTAAAAGCTGGACAGAGAATAAGTCAGACCAAAGAACTGATGTCTTTGAATTGTGGTGTTAAAGAACATTATAGATTCCATGCACTTCAGATAAACCAACAAATCTGTCTTAGAAGAAGTACATCCAAATGTTCCTTGGAAGTATTTCACCTCATGTACTTTGGACAGTATCAGGAGCAACCAGTCCCTGGAGAAAGCCATGCTTGGTAAAGTATGAGGCCAGCTCAAAAGCTGATTGAGACCATGGTTACAATAATGAGTTCAAACATAACAACAATTGTGAAGATGAAGCAGGAGCGATCAGTGTTTTCATTCTATTGTGCATAGAGTTGTTAAGTGAGAGCAGACTCAGTGGTACCCAGCAATAACTCCAACAGATGGCATCTAGCAACAATCCTCATTCCTAAAGTTCAAAGGCAACTAATTATCAATAAAACCTCAAGAAATATCCATTCTTAAAATTCATATCACAGAAACAAGGTTAACCTAACTTAACCTTAAGATTCTTTTTAATAGTGTTATAAGATATACATGTTTATAATTCAAAATTTCATTTTACCTGTAGTTCCTGAATGGCTTTACGCTGTGCTTCTATTGTCTTTCTATTTTCTTGTAATTTAATTTCTTTCTGTTTTAGTTCAAAGTCTACATTCACTTTCCACTTCTTGATTTTTTCAGCCTCCTTATATAGTTTTGAATATAGTCTGCTGATTGGTCCTGTATTCTATTAAAATAAAATTTCCTAAATTAGATCATTATTCAAAATTTTAATGAAACAAAATTATGGCAAATATCCATGATTAATAGCACTTCACAAATTGAAACTAATTCTCTCCTGAGTTTGTCTAGTAGCATACTGAAAGAAAATGCATCAACTCTTCTAAGTTACTAAAGCAGTTATTACATATTTAGCTAAAGTTACCTGGCTGAATAAAGTAAAATTACTCCAATGTGTTTATATCAGAAAAATATTTTAGCCAATAAAAGAATAAAGCTAGCGAAAAGTTAAAATAGAGTCTACAAGAAAATCTATAAATCTTATCAATCATCTTGAAATATTTTGATTATACAGTTCAATAATTAACTAGGAGACAAGGATTTGGATTTTTTAAATAATATCAAAAACAATAGTGAACACAAAAACTACCTTTCATCACGCTTGATGTTTTATTTGGAATTCTTATATTTTTAGAATTTATAAGAAAAATGCCAGTTTGTATTTAAAAACTAATTTGTTTGCTGATAGCTCTTTGTTTATTAATAGGTTCATATTTTAAAATCTATATTACAGCAAAAGTACACAGCAACAAGCATGTAGTCCTTTGTCGGGCCAAAGAATTTCACTTTATTTTTAAAGCTATCTATCCCATTAGAGGACTCCTAGAGATATAGTGGTTATATCTAATAACTTAAAGGTCAGCAATTTGAAGCCACCAGCCACTTAACGGGAGAAAGACAGGGCTTTCTATTCCTATAAAGTTATAGTATAAGAAACTCACAGGGTAGTTTTACCCTGTCCTATAGGTTTGCTATGAGTCAGTATCAACTCAATAGTAGTGAGTTGGTTTTGATTTGGATGTTCCATAAGTGAGAATTCTAATCGTTCATAATTAATGTCAAAATTACTCCTGCAAATCTCTTGGTCAACAAAATAACCAAAAATTAATTTCACCGATTAAATAAAGAATTATTTGGTAAAATATTGATTTGTTTATGAATCTCTTTACTTCAAACATCCATCTTCCCTCTTCTATCCTTAATTTCTATGCTTTAAAACTGAATTGCCTCTAATAAAGTGGCTGCCTTCATAACCCAAGAAAACACATCAGTCTAGTGTTTCAGCAACTTAAAAGGTTTCAAATTTTTACAGATTTATAAAGGATCTATTTTTAAAGTTAGACAAATATTAACCCTTTTAAAGCTTCAAAATAAAGCTATATAAAACAAATCAAAATCCAAAATACTATATAGATGGGAAATCTGACCTCAGAATCAGAGTCTCTTAGTCCTTCCTGATAGTGACAACCGTCAGAATTATCAACCTAGAAATTAAATAAATGTCTCCTGTAAGAAAGTATTTCTGATGACAGTTTCCAAATAGCAGCATTACATACCAAAAAAGAGAAATCCAATAACTGAAGTTTTGTATTTTCAAATATGTAATCCAATATCTAAACAAATTATACCTATATATACTATATTTAACTGACCTGTTCAAGCATGGGTAAAAAGTTAGTGTTTTGTAAGGTAGGAGCTGCAAGATAAAAGATAAAAGATAAATGGTGTTAAATATGTCGGTCTTATTATTTTTGTTATTACATACTGTATCTAGCTTTAAGAATCAATGATATCAGTATAATGTCATATTTTCAGTAATAAATATTACTATTTTATAAATAATATTATAGATATCATAATCTTATAACTAATGTTTCTATGTAAACTAATATATTGCTTTTTCCAGTTTCCTACCTGAGTCAAGGTTTTCCACATTTTTGGAGAGATTAGTTATTGCAAATGGCAAACGAAAATCATCTTGAATGCATTTGTTGAAATTCTAGAAACACAAAGAAGTTCTTAAACATATTGTCTCACACCATTATAATCCTAGCAGTGCAATACATATGCACATAATAAACATCTGCTTAACTGACTACTGTTGTAAATCCTTTTAATATATTTGAAGCACTGTATATACTCGAGTATAAGCTGACCCGAATATCCGCCAAGGCACCTAATTTTACCACAAAAACTGCATTAAAACTGTGCTGAAAAACTCAGCTTATACTCGAGTATAATTATTTAAAATATCAATCAAGTACTTTTGCTATGTGTTACGGTTTGAACTGTGTCCCCCCAAAAATATGCATCATCTTGGGTGGGCCATGATTCTCAGTATTATATAATTATATTCTATTTTGTGTTGTGATATAATTATACTAACTGTTGTCAATCTTCACCTCTATGAACATGGCCATTTACTTGTAGCAATTCTATCA